GTTTTGTCTACTGAACCCATCACAGGCCAAGTCTCCCCCTGCAGAGTAAGTGCACATAGTAAAGCGAGAGAGGTTCTTGGTAAGTCTTTCTTCACTGAGTTTCCCATCAACACAGGAACAGTTACATTCTGGAACTTTCACGTAAAGATCCACCACTTCTCAATAGACACATCTCCCTCCACGGAATACCCCTTCCTCACTTCCCCTGGAGATTTTATCGTCACAGCCCTTTCTGATTTTCCAGTCTGCCCTATTAAGTATCTATAAAGATTTATTCAGTGACATGGAACAGTAAAATGAGAAGACCTGGGATTGAGTTTTGACTTTGTGCCTGACCAGGGGACACATGGACAAGAGGCTTATGTGGTCTTGGGCAAGGTACTTAACATCTCTCTGCCTGCCTCAGTTTCCTCATCTAGAAAATGGATATAAATGATGCATAACTCATGAGCTCTGTAAAAATTAAATTAAAAAACGCATTCAGATCTTAAGCACACAGTAAGTATTCCATAAATTATCACTGTTATCAAGTTCTCAGCATGATTCATTATCGGCAAGAAAAAGAAGACCTTCTCTGCTAGGATTCCAGAGAGGATTTAATGAAGAAATAATTTATTGGGAGGAGGGAGGCTAAGGGAACCGATAAGGAACACCGAGAGACCCAGAGACCTGCAGCAGTGGGGAGCCATGCCCACCCCGACCTGAGAGGGCGAGGGGAAGGCCAGGTGTTGCTGGAGCCCAGTCAGAAGTGGGGTCTATAAGTGGCAGGAGCTATAGTTTTAGAGGAACATGGCCACTGACAGACCTGGGCCCAGAAGCAGGGAGGGAGCTGGGGGAACTATCCCAACCTCTCTTCCTCACACACTCTGGTTCCTTGCTGATGCCTATTACTGGCCAAGCCCAGATGGAAGACAAGGGGCAAGGGAGCCCCCAGATGCAAGCATAGGAGCTGACTTCTCAGGGCCCAGTGCAGACCAAAAAATAAATCTCAATGGGAAGAGGGTGTAAAAGGTGAATCACCAGGCTGGTCAGAGAGGAATTCCTTGTCATTTACTTACTGGTTAGTATTAGTCAACCCAAGGCATAAACAAAACTACTGCAAAAATCCTCAAGAGGTAATTGTAATCATATCACTTCAGGCCTAAAAGCCCTATAGTGGTTCCCCGGTGTCTAAAGAAAGGAGCCTCCTACCCCCTTTCCCTGGAATCCTGTCCTCCCGCTCATCACCTGCCTCTCCCCTCTTGGCACTTTCTGGAATGCCTAAGTCTGGACATGCTTCTCTGCTTTGCACTTACTGTTCCATTTGAAAATTCTGATGGGTGAAAATCTTTACCCACTCTGTGTCCCTATCTTCTCTGCTTGGCCAAGTTCTTGTCACTCTCTAACACTCAGTCACGTACTGCTTCCTCTAGGCAATGTACCCATCCTCCTCTAAGTTCTCATCGAGAGGCCGCAGAGTGTCATGAGGGGGACTCTAAGCCAGACTGCCCAGCTTGCTATTCCTGGTGGCAACATTTTCTAGCTGCATTGTGCCCTTGCCATTCAACCCCTCCATGCCTCAGCATCAACATCTATAAAATAGGTTATGACTATACCCATTTCATAGGGTTTTCCTAAGGATTAAATGAGCCAATAAATGCAAAACACTTAGAAAAGTGCCTAGCCTATAGTAAGCACTTAATAAATATTAGCCAATTTATTTTTAATTACTGGCATATCATAATACTTAATATACACAGTGTAATTCAAAATGTACTTGTCTGATTCCTACATTGATTCTTTGTGCAACTCAGTGATAGGATCTTTGTATCCCGATACCTAGAATAGTGTTTAGCACATAGGAGGTACTTGATAAAAGATCAATGAGTGAATAAATGAAGGAGTGAATACATGGGTAATGAGGATTCATAAGTTTTTGGAATCTGGTTTGGGCTTTCATGTGAAGCACACTATAGGTCTTTTCTCAAGCATATGAATAGCTAAAGAAGTCAGATTCAGAAAATTCAAACCCCTTCAGAGCAAAACTGGGCCACCCAGTGCGGCAACTTTCCTGTAGGCCTAGTTTGGGTAGGTCCCTCCCCCAAGCAACCAGCCACTTCCTAATCTAATTGTGCGATAAAAGAAATAGCTTCTCCACCCTTCACACTTCCTCCTCCCTGTTAGAAGCCCAGGGCACTGATCTGCATGCATTTGTGTCAGAGCCCCAGTAGTCTATGGGAAACAGACACTTCCTCCTGCCCAGGCAAAAGCACCATCGGACCATCCAGGTGGAGGGTCTGGTTAGGGAATGCCCCGAGTTCCCAGAATGCCTGCACGCTCCCTGGGTCACTCAGGCATGGGGGCAGGTGTGTGCTTGTGGAGGCAGAAGCTCTGCTACAGGCCCCCAGCAGCCCCGACCCTCTTCTAGGCTTCCAGGGCTCCCTCCCTTCTTCCATTTCCTCGTTTATGTTCCCTCCATGGCTTCCCACCAATTCAGTGAAAATAAAGAGCAAGGTCCTACAGAGCCCACATGATCTGCTTCCTGGCTGCCCACCCATCCCTCTATTCTCCCTTCACTTACCCCACTGCAGGCAGGCTGGCCGGCTGGCCGGCTGGTCGGCAGGCCTCTTAGCTGTTGCTCCACAGTGAACACATTCACTGGTTCCTTGCTTGAAAGGCTCTTGCTTCAGGCATCCTTGTGGCTCTATCCTCCTTAGTCATTTATTAGTTCCTTCATTTGACAGACAATTTTTAAACTGTAAAATTTTTATTTTTAATTACGGTTCAAAAACATGCAAAATTTAGCATCTTAACCATTTTATGTGTACAATTCAGTGGCATCAAGCACATTTATTTACATTGTTGTACAACCATTATCACTAACCAGCTACATAAACTCTTTTTTGTCTTGTAAAACTGAAACTCTATACCCATTAAACAGGAACTCCCCATCCCCGCTCCCCCCAACCCCAGCCTGGGATAACCACCATTCTACTCTCTGTCTCTATAAATTTGACTACTCTGGGAGCCTCATGTAAGTGGATTCTGTAATAGTCGTCCTTTTGTGACTAGCTTATTTTGCTTAGCATAATGTCCTCAAGATTCATCCATGTTGTAGCCTGTGTCATAATTTCCTTTCTTTTTAAGGCTGAATAATATTTCATGCCTATATATACACCATATTTTGTTTATCCATTCATCTTTTGATGGACACGGGTTATTTCCACCTTTTAACTACGGCAAATAATGCTGCTACAAACATGGGTGTACAAACATCTGTTCAAGTCCTTGCTTTTATTTTTGGGGGGGTCATATACCCAAAGGTGGAATTGCTGGATCACATGGTAATTTTATATTTAATTTCTTGATATATTCCACAGTGTCTAGATTGCTTAGCAATGCAAAAAGATTCCAAATTCCCCACATCCTCACCAACACTTATTTTCTATTTTGGACTTTAAAAAAAAAATAACTATCAAATATAAGGTGGTATCTCATTGTGATTTTTAACAGACAGTTTTTGGGCATCTTCTATGAGCCAGGTCTAAGCTGCATGATTCTCAGAACATACAAATAAAGTCCAATGGCTGCTCCCAGGAAGGAAAAGGGCAGGAAACTAAATTTGAAATGACCTACACCTAGAACTAAACCCTTACAGATATTAGCTCATTTAATCCTCACAGTCTCCTTAGAATGAATATAAGTATCTCATTTTAGTGAGAAACCAAGATTCACTCAAGTTCAGTGACCGGCCTCCTGGTTCCAGACTGAAAACACAAGTCTTTGAGACTCAAAAGCTCGTGCTCTTTTTTCTCTGTGGCAGTTTTTCTCAGAAGTTTTTTTTATTTTGATTTGACTGAGCAGAAAGACATAAAAATAACTTTGAGGCACTGGCAGAGTGTTGCCAACATTTATTTGGCAAAAAAAAAAAACAAACAAAAAAACCAAAAAACATTGCAAAGCAATTAATTTACCATCTAATGTCACTTTTCTTGTACAGAAAAATATTTTAACCACATACCCTTTGGAAAAAAAAAAACACGATAAAGTTTTTTCAACTGAATAAACTTGGCTTTATGAAAACTTCACTCTACTGTCCAGACTTTTCTCATTTCCCTACCCCAGTAGTGAAGATCATGGCTCAAACTGGCACCAGTCCTCAGCTTGCAGACGTCGAGCGCTCCAGCCCAGCAGACCCTCAGCTAGGTGCTCTGCGGGATGCCAGGCCAAGGGCGAGCTGGCCTTGGGGGGCATTTAGAAATGCACAGAACAGAGACAATTAGGTGCCCCCCCGCGCCCCCCCCACCCCCGCGAATTTGGCCAGCCTGCTCTGCAAGCGATGAGGAGTTAGGAAGCTTTGCTAAATTCTGCCATTTCTGCTGCCTTAAGCACCTCTCAAACTTTTCTTCTCCTCACTCTCAGCACTAATCCAGGTTCCATTTTCCAGAGGAAATTAAAAACTTTCACACAAGAGCCACCATAAATAAAGGGAAGAAATGAACCATGAATGGGGAAAGCAGTTGCTAACTATAAAAAATAAAAGTTTGTATTAAGGATATATAAAAATTCAGTAAGAAACAAGAAAAAGGCTTAGATGATAATAACCCACTATCTCCCTTTCCCCAGCCTCCCCTAAGCCTGAGTCTCCACATACAAGCAGAGAAATTAAAGTAGAGATTGGCTCAATTCACCACCCTGCTTAATAGTGCAGTAGGTGGTTCTCAGGGCAACCAGCTCAGGATTTGGGGCCAGACTGCCTGCTTCCATTCCCAGCTTCCCATTTACTAGCTTTCTGATTTAGAGAAAGTATTATTACATTATTTAACCTCTCTGGCTTCAGTTTCTTCTGTAAATGAGGATAGCTCTGTGTACCTCCTGAAGATGTTGTGTGAAATAAGTTACTACTTCTAGAAGTTACCACTTTTTCTTTTTTTTTTTTTTAGATAAATGATGCTACTTTATTCAATGACTGGTCCATGTAATTGCCAAGGCCACTACGTACAGGTAAGAGAGGTGGAGCTTTATTTCTTGGTCTCTTCCTCCTTGGACGGAGTTTTGCTGATTTCCTCCTTCTTGGCCTGAAGCCCCTCTTCACGGCGCTTGCGAGCTCCCTTGGTCTTAGACCTGCGGGCCTCGGCCTGGTCAGCCAGAAGCTTCTTGCGAGCCTTGTCCGCCTTCAGCTTATGGATGTGTTCCATGAGAATCCACTTGTTTTTGAACATGTTGCCCTTCACTTTTAGGTACAGGTTGCGGTACATGTGGCAGTCAATCTTCTTACTTACTACTTCTAGAAGTTACTACTTTAGAACATTGCCTGGCACGTGGTGAGTGTTCAAGAATTATCAACATCATCTGCAGGAGCCCTCCAAGACCCAACCTGCTTCCTTCCCTTCTTCCCAAGGCTTTTCTACTTTCATAAGATCCTGAAGGCCTTTTATAGCAAGATTTTACTGCACTTTTAAAAAATTGTATGATCTTCACCACACAGAAAAGTATAGAGGATAATATAAATAATAGTTGTGTTTCTTCCAGTCTGCTCTTCAAATCTTACCATTTTACCATGTTTGATTCAGATTTTTTTAATTACAGTAAATTTTAAAAATTACAGTAAGCATTACAGTAAAACAAGGTTCCTCGTGAGCCAATCGTTAACCCTATCCCCTTTTCTCACTCCCCAGATGTGGCCTGTGTTCTTATTTTTAATGTTTTCTTGCAAGCACTTATACTTTATAAGCAATACATAATAGTTTTTCATGGAACAAGATTTTATATCAAATGGTATCATACTATCAATACCCCCTACAATTTTCTTTCCCACTCTACATCTTGAGATTTATTCATGTAGAAATATATAACTCCAGATTTTTGTAGATGTTCTTAACCAAATTAAGGAAGTTCCCTTCTATTCCTAGTTTGTTGAGAGTACCTCTGGATTAGATATTGCATTTTTTGTGTCTGTTTTCTTATATTTTTTCTGCTATTATTTTTATCTCATATTTATTTAGTCTATTAATATGGTGGATTACATTCTTTGAATTTTTAAAGATGAACCACTCTTGCCCAGGCTGGTGTGGCTCAGTTGAGTGAAGCACTGTCCTGTTAACCAAAAGTTCGCAGGTTTGATTCCCAGTCAGGGCATATGCCTAAATTGTGGGTTTGGTTCCTGGTTGGTGTGTGTACAAGAGGGAGCTGATCAATATTTCTCTCCCACATCGACGTTTCTTTCTCTCTCTCTCCCCTCCTCCCCTCCCCTCTCTCTCTAAAATCAATAAGCATGTCCTTGGGTGAGGATTTAAAAAAAAAGATGAACCACTCTTCATTCCTTGAATTAATCTCACTTAATTGTAAACTATTATTCTTTTTATGTCAGAGAATATCATATCATATCATATATAAACAAATTTGATTTGCTAATATTTTGTCTAACTTTTTTTTTTTTCCTCTTACTGTGTTTGTCTGATTTTAGTATCAGGATAATACTGGTCACTTAAGACAAGTGGGAATTTCTCTGCTTTCTAAAGGGAATTTCTCTCCTTTCTAAAAAAGATTATGTATAATTAATATTATTTCTTCCTTTAATGTTTGGTATATTTCACCAGCAAAATCACCAGGGCCCAAACTTTTCTTTGTTTGAAGGTTTTAAACTATAAACTCATTTATTTAATAGATATGGGACTATGTAGATCATGTTTTTTTTCATCAGTGAGTTTTGACAGTTTGTGTTTTTCAAGGAATTGGGCTATTTTCATCTAAGTTATTAAAATTATGGGCATAGAATTGTTCATAGTATTTCCTACTATCCTTTTAATATTTCTGGGTTCTGTAGTGATAGTCATCTTTTTTTCCTGATGTTGGTAATTTGTGTCTTTTCTTTTTTTAATCTTCTGTCTTCATTCATGAATTGCCAAGTTTCTCTTTGTTATCATTTTCTTTCTACCCAAAGAACTTACTTACTGACTGTTTTAGAGAGGTCTATTAATAACAAATTTTGTTATTTTTCCTTTATCTGATAATACCTTAATTTCACCTTTGTTCCTTAAGGATATTTTCACTGGCTATAGAATGTGAAATTCGACAGTTCTTTTCTCATAGCCCTTTAAAAACGTCCCGTTATCGTTCAGTCTCCATGGTTTCTGATTAGAAATATGCAGATATAGTTGTCCAGCTTACCCTGGTTATTTTCAAGATGTTTTTCATTATCTTTGGTTTGATTATAAAGTATGTGGGTATGCTTTACCTTGAGGTTTGCTTGTATGGAATTCATTGAGCTTTTTGAATCTATAAATTCATAAACAAATTCCATAAATAAATAATTGAAAACAATTATATCTTCAATTATTTTCTTGCTACTAATCTCTTTTTGTTTTTTCTGGAACTTCAGTGACATAAATGTAAAATCTTTTAAAATTGTTCCACTGGTCTCTGAGACTGTTCTTTTCTTAAATCACTTTCTCTGTGTTTTTCAAATTAGAAAACTTATATTGATCTAGCTCAGTAGTCAGAAAACTGTCATCCACCAGACAAATCTAGCTGACTGATTTGGTAAATAAAAATTATTGGAACATAGCCATGCTAAATCATTTACATATTGTCTGTGGTTATTTTCATGCTACAACCGCAGAGCTGAGGCGGTACAACAGAAACTGTACGACCAGCAAAGTCTAAAATATTTACTATCTTTCCCTTTGCAGAAAAAGAAGTAGCCAATCCAATCCTTGCTCTAGCTTCAAGTTCACTGAGTCTATCTCTATTATGTTACTAATCCTCTCCAGTAAGTTTTAAAATTTCAATCATTGTATTTTTCAGCTATAAAATTTCTATTTTTTAATAGCTTCTGTTTTCTTTACTGAAAACTCCTATATTTCCATGTGTTTCAATAATTTTGCTCTTACTTCATAAAGCATGGTATAATAACTACTTTTAAGGCTTTGCCTGAGTAGTTAAACATCTCGGTCAGCTTGGTATTGGTGGCTATTGATTGCCTTTTATTTTTAGAGTTATTAAGTTTCCTCATTCTTTGTTCTCTATTGAAGTTGATTAATTTTGAATTGCATCTTGGACACTTTGAATATTATGTAATGAGACTCTGGATCCTGTTAAGAGTCTCTAAAGAATTTTCTTTTTTTTTTTTAAAGCAAGCGATCAACATAGCTGGGTTTAGACCACAAGTCCCAACATAGCTTCTATGGGCTATGGTTCCAATGCCAGCTTAGTTTTCATAGCCTTTGCTGCGCTATGAAAATCTGCCTCAAATACGCACCACCCAGGGGTCAGCCTGGCACCTGAAAAGTGATCTACACTGTAGTTTAGACACGAAGATCTGTTGTGCAGCTTTGGGATAGTTCCTCACATGTGCAGCCCGGAAGTGAACTCAGAATATCATACACAAATTTAAGGAACACCTTTCTTGAGCTCCTCTATTCCTCCCTGTATAGTCCTGTATATCCATACAGGATATTCCAGTATGCTGGATAAAAAGCCATGGTTTTAGTTTCATCATGTCGTCACACATTTTTCACAACTGGGTCCATCTTGAGAATGAATCAGTGAGAAAAACAAATAACAGAAATACCCACCCTAGACCACGAGGAGCCCTTTACCCAGTTCTTCTAATCAGACAGGGGGATTTTTTTTCTGAGAGTTTTTCGTGCCTGTGAAGCTGCCACTGCAGGAGTATGATTCATGACAAGGCTTTGTCTTGGGGCCAGCCTAAACAAGTAAATAGAGTAAAATCAAATGAGATACGTCTATGCCCTCCCCGCAACACATACTTTTTGTCCCGCAGGGCCCGTTCTTTTTAATCCTGCAACCAGAAAGAGAGTTTGTTTTGGCTTTTTTATTGTCCATGCTTACTGCACAGTTTCATGTTCAGGCTGCCTTACGAGATACAGAATGGAAAAAAATACACAGGAAACTTAACTATCTGTCATGGTTAATTTTATGTGTCAACTTAATTGGGCCAGAGGGTACCCAGACATTTAGTCAAACATTATTCTGTGTGTGTGTCTGTGATGGTGTTTCTAGATGAGATTAGCATTTTAATCTATAGACTGAGTAAAGCAGATTGCTCTTTCTAATGTGGGTGGGCCATAACCAATCAGTTGAAGGTATGGATAGAACAAAAGGCTGATCCTCCTGTGAGTAAAAAGAAATTCCTCCTGACTGACTGCCTTTGAGCTAGAACAAAAGTTTTCTCTGTCTTTGAATTCAACATGAGGCATTGGCTCTTCCTAAGACTTGAGCCTGCCAATTTTTGACTGAAACTATGCCATCAGTTCAGCTCTTCTGGTGCTCTAGTTGCTGACTGTAAGTCTTAGGACTCATCAGCCTCCTTAATTGCATGAGCCAATTCCTTATAATAAATCTCTTTATTTATTTAGACACATCCTATTGGTTCTGTTTCTCTGGAGACTTCTAATATACCCCATCTCAGCTGTTCTTTGAGTTTTTATAACTCACCCCAACCCAATTTGTGATTGTTTGCTTTTCAGAATTCTTGAACAGTTGCTTTATGTATACTCTCCAGGGTTGTTAGTTGTAATTAGTGAGAGAGACAGGTTACAGTGTGGTCATTCCATCTTAGCTGAAACCAGAAATGTCTAGCTTTTTTATTTATAATTGTTGTAAAGTATTGCATTGGGTGAATATATTACAATTTCTTTATTCTTTCTCTGTTGATAAATGTTAGGGCTCTTCCCTCATAACCTGTGTAAATATGTGCAGAACTTTTCCAGAATATATACTTACTTACATGTAAATTGCTAAGGTATAAGGTATACTTATCAAATTTACTAGATAGTGCCAAAATAAATGCTGAGTGGTGCTAACAATTTAAATTTATACTAGCAATATATAAGTTTTCTCATTGTTTCATATACTCCTGAACTTTTGGTATTGCTAGATTTTTAAGTTTTTGCCAATCCAATATGTATGGAATGGTACCTCTGTGTTTTAATTTATTCCTGGTTACTAGTGAAACTGAGCTACTTTTCAAAAGTTTATTGCCTATTCATATTTCCTCTCCTGTGATTTCTTTGTTTATATTGGTTCTCTGTTTTTCTTTTGGATTTTTAAAAATCTTTTTCTTGTTGATATGCTTATTTAATTCTTATATACAGTTGACTGCCTTTCTCACTTGATTGTAGTGACTTTTGGTGGGTAGAAGTTTTCATGTTTTGATGCCAGAATTATTGTAGGTGCCCCCTTCTCCCTTACTCTCCACATTAAATTAGTTTCTGGGCCCCGTTGACTTTTCTCTCCTATCTCTGCCGTCTATCCATGTTAGCA